TTTTGTTTTTTTTTAGCATTCTTGTATAAAAATAAAAAAATTTGTTTATTTGAATTTAAAATTATTTTGTAATTATAGTAATAAAAAAAAAAACTTATATAATGAAACAAAACGTTTGGGCTTACAAAAAATTTTGCGCTCTGAGAAAAAATTTGTAAATGCGACAGTAGATAAATGTTTCATGTGTTGTGTTGCTTAGTGTATCAAGTGATTGAGTTCACTAATAGAGTCTGTTCCGTTCTGTTCGTGTTGCAGTTGTAGTTGCAGCTGTAGTTGTTGTTGTTGTATTTGTTGTTTGCTTGTAGTTTCGCTTGTTTGTGTGTTTGTTTGTTGCTTGAGCGTCTGGAAGTGCACGGAAGATTTTGTTGCATTTGATTGTGGCTGTGGCTCTTGCTACAGTTGCAGCTGAGCTGCTTCATTTGAGCTTCTGCTTGGCCGGACTGGAGGAGACCTGATCCGCCTCGGGCAGATCGCTCTCCTTCTTGCGCTTCGATTTGTCCTTGTTGGGCGCCTTCGCCTTCTTGGTCTGTGCCGCCAGCAGCTTGGCCTCACGCTTCGCCTCCCGCTTGGCGCGCAGCTGCTCGGTGATGAAGGAGAACACCAGATAGCCCTGCACGGCGATCAGGCCGATCAGCGCAATGACCGCACGCAGATTATAGCTGCCGCCGGACACGCAAATGCCATAGTAGAGTGTGAGCACACCAATCACGGAGGTGGCAAAACGCACCAGGACGAAGCACACGTTGTTCACGATGCCCACACGGGCCAGACGCTCGTCGCGATCGAAGACACCGATCAGCTGGAAGATGTGGGCGAGCAGCTCGCTGAAGTAGTGTAGGGTGAGCAGAACGAGAGCCAAGCGCTGGAAGCTGAGCGTGTAGGCCAGCACGATGAGCGTGAAACCGCTAATGGAATGTATGATCTTGGGCTGTTGCTCCTCCTTGGAGCGCACCTTCTGGAAGTAGAGCTCGGGCAGCATATGCAGATAGTACGACAGCTGGATGATGAAGTAGAACTTGTGCAGAAAGCTCATCGGATGCGCTGGATAGCCCTCCCAGAGCAGAGCCACCTGACCGAGGTAGCCTTCGCGCAGCGCCACGTGCGTGCCCCAAATGAATGAGAGCAGATAGAATGCGACCAGTTGGCCGGATTCGTTGAAGCGAGCCAGCTTGAATTTGGACAGATGCAGCTTCTTGCTAATCTTGTCCAGCACAAACTCCTGGATGATGGCGTGCATGATGATGCAAGTGAGCGTGTAGAAGAATATAGCACAATAGTCCTTGATGCCGGCCACATATGTATAGGGCTTGCCATACGGCTGCTCCCTGCTTGCCTCCTCGCCGCTCACGTTGTGATGCAGCGAGATGAAGGCACTGGCAAACGATGCCGTCGACTCGTTCATTAGCCCAACCACAAACACCATTGCCACACAGGAGATGATGTCCGCGTGGTTTTGTATGACGAACTCATGGCTGAGTATCGGCGGATTCTTGTTGCTCGTCTTGCGACCCAGACCTGGTTTGATGGCCATAATTAATGTTGTTACTTCGTCTCAGGCGTGTTGCTCTGCAATGTTGCAAGTTGATGGGATTAGTGAATGCAATTAACTGACTGCCTCTCTCTGTCTTTCTGTCTCTCTGTCTCTATCTCTCTCTTGCCCTTTCATTCAGTCACACGCTCTGTGTATGCTCGTGGCTGTTGCAACGTCAGCAGTCGCAGCAGCAGCTGACGACGCCAACGGAATTATGGCCATGTGCATGCAAATGCCAATTGGTCCATGCAACAACAGCGCGCACACACACATACACACACGCGCGCACGCACAATTAATGCAAACAATACAAATTTGCCTTGTTGGCACACACACACAAATACACACTTACGCGAGCGCCACAATCAAACACACTCACCCACACACATGTATGCACAAGAGAAAGACAGAGAGAGAGAGAGGCGGCTGCCGCTACACGCAAGCAAATTTCTTTTCTTCTTTTTTACTTTTTACTTTTCACTAGACAAGCGAGTTCAGTGTTGTTGTTGCTTACAGGATTGGAATTTGTGTTACAGTTTGCTGACGTAGACGTATTTCAGTTGTGTATATTAATTTTGCTTCCACTTGTTATTATATTTGTTATTCTTGTCAAACGGTATTTTTCGTATTAGATATTTGTTTTTGTATTTTTTTTGTATCCAGTGTGCCTCTGGACCAGCCGCCTCTACTGCCTGCCTACCTCTGGCTTTTAGTTTCGCTGCTGCCTCACCTGTGAGTGAGTGACTGACTGACTAACTGACTGACTGAATGAATGTGTTGCTACGTTTCACCGCAATCACTATGTGAATGCCAAGGCGGCCTACTGGCAAAACAGAGCCGAGCAACAACAACAGCGCGCAGACATACACTAGAGCTGTAGCAGTACAACAAAACACTGCCAGCGGTAGCGACAACAGCTACAACACTAACACTGACACTAACAACAGCAGCAACAACAACAAAAACTGCCACGCAAACGACTCGGCTCCAATGGGCAATAGTATATGGTCGTGTTGTTGTTGGTTTTTGTTGCTGTTGCCACTGCTGGTTCACTACCACTTGTTCACGTTGTTGTTTATTGCTTGCTCGCTTCCGCACACACTGCACTGTGCCTTCGTCTTGCCGGTTACAGTTAAGCGCTCTCGCTTCCACACGCCCAGAGCGCCACAATATTATGTTGAGGCGCCCAATCGTTAGTGTCACGATGTTTGGCCACGATGTCCGTTTTGATGTTCGTCTACTTCGTGTACGAGCCGACTATGACGTGGAATTTGTTGTCTTTTCAGTTTATCGATAGACATGAAAAGCATCATCCGCATCTTTGCAACCCTGCACCACTTGCTGATAGTGGACATAGCAAAGAAAAGGTCGAGCACGGTATATGCACATACATTGTCAGCTTGTGATGTCGATGTAGCTTCAAATATACACATTTCACTCTCAGATTTGCACAATGTTCACGTCATGCGCAGTAGCCGAGCGCATCACAGAGCTATTGCGCTCTTTGATTTTTGCCATTAACATTAAGACGCGCACATTGCACAACTTATATAAAACCGTTGGCATTCAAAAAATATTTGAATGCAATAAACGCGCACTTAAAGCTATAAATATGAAAGAAATGTATTAGAACTAAATACATATGTTATATTTGCATTTAAGAATCAACTGCTATATGTTCAGTTATTTTATGAGGAGAAATCTTATTGTGGATATCTGCGTATAATTATGTATTTCATTGGTGAAAATCGAACTCTGTTTACTGTTGGCTTTTGTTGAATCGTTTGAAATCTGAAACCCATTTCAGTTACGTTTTTGGGTGATTGTAATTAGCGCAAGGTTATGCAAGCCACTAGCCCCCACATGGCAATTAAATGCATTTTGTACTCACGTTACGATTTCGCTTGCGCACAGAGGACACAATTGTGCGCTTGTTGCGTGCCACCAGGCAAACGGTTATAATTAAAATCATGCCGATAAGTGCAAATCCGAGTAGAGCAGGCAGCAGCACGCTATCCTCAGCCTTGTAGCCCTACAAATGCGAAAAAGAGAGAGAGAATGAGTATTTGTGTGTGTGTGTGTGAGAGAGAGAGAGCTACACAAGGACACAGCCACAGGCATACAATTAGAGCGAGATCCAATACTTACCGACCACTGGACATATGTGGAGGGATCTATGTAAGCCCAACGTGTATTCATCCAAATGTTGTTGCTCTTGTTCTGACCCACATCCGTGTTGCTTGATGATTGTTGTTGCTGTTGCTCCTGCGGCTGCTGCTGCTGTTGTTGTTGTTGCTGCTGCTGTTGGAGCTGTGTGCTCTGCGTCTTGGCTAGCACGGGCGGCATGATTGGTTTCTTGGCTGCCGACTTGAGCAGCGGTACTTGTATGATGCGCGTGGTTAAGGTGGCTGCCATCTGACGATTGGTAAGCGGTGGGGCGGCAGCGGCAGTGGCAACGGTTGTCCTTGGCATGGCTGGGCGTGCAGTGCTGGCCGGGATTAGGGGTACCACTGGATCAGTTGCTTGCATGCTCTGAATTGTTGTTGTTGCTGGTGCTGGAGCAATTGTGGTTGTTGATGTTGTTGTTGTTGTTGTTGTAGTAGTTGTAGTTGTTGTAGTGCTGCTAGATGGCAAAGTCTTGTTGACCTTTAATATGAACTGCTCAATGCCATTGCGATTCACAATCTGCACAGTTTTGCCTACATTCTGACCCAGCATGGCAGCCACCGGTGGAGCTGGAGCTGGCGCTGTTGCCATCCTGGCTCCTCCAGTGGCTGTTGCTGCTGCTGCTGCCGCCGGATGTAACTGCTGTCTGTCGCCGCTGTGTGTGAACGCCGCCTTAGTTTTGAGGAACCATTCAGTGGGACTGGGCAGACACTCGGCGGAAACCAGAAACGGTATGAGCACGGCCCCAATGATCACAGTGCAGACAAAGATCAGGCCTAGATACGCAAAGAATGTGCGGCGTCTGCGTGGAGCAACCGCCGACGCGCTGCGCTTGGCGCCACTGGACGTGCTCGAGGAGGAGGACGTGCACGTTACGGAGGATGTGTTCGCTGCCTGGCAGCTGGCGTTGCTCAGCTTGCCCTCAATCCGGAAATCATCGTTTTGCGGTAGAATCGTGTACTGCAAGCTGTTCTCGCCGTGCCGTATTGTTTTGTACATTTTTGATTTCTTTTTTTTTCTACTTTCGCGTCTTTCTTTTGTTACGATTTTTTTTTTTGTGTATTTGTGTTTGTAAGCGAAAACAAGGACACTGTAGGACACTTTTCTCTTTTTGGAGCTCTGTTTCCTGGTGCTCAATAGTGTTTCACACTAAACGCTGTTGTGTCAATTGTTGTTGTTGTTGTTGCTGCTGCTGCTCCTGCTGCTGCTGCTGCATGCATGCTTCTTGCGCACTAATTTTATGTTTTTATTGATTGAGCGTTGTTGTTTTGCCAATCGCTGAGAGACGAGCGCAGGCAGCAGCTCGAAAATCCAAAACTTTTTGGCGCAGTCGCAATTTGCAAATGCCGCAGTGTGGCAAAACAGATAACGGTTTCAGCGCAGTCCTCTGGCCAGTGCTGGGCAACGTAAGCGCAGAGTGCATGACAATAAGTATATGCCATTCACACAGGACATTTGCACACACACATACATATACACACCTGTATTCATACAGCATGATGCAAAAGAATAGAGAATGAAATTTAAATTGATATATTTTCAATTTATATATCTAATTCTATACCAATATATTTTATCGCTGCATATTCAATAATAAATACCTAGTTAACGGGCATAGTATTGAACCTCTTATGGTACATGATTGAACGAGCTCGGACAAAAGCTGCTTGATTTTCACATGCAATATATTCATTCAGCAACAAAGTATGCAAAACGCAGGCAAATCTAAATATTTAAATTTAAATAAAATATAGAAATTAATTTTAAAGTCATGAGTCATCTAAAATTCGTTTACTATTTTTTTATACTGTTGAGACTCATTTATATTTTATTTTATACTTCGATTTATGTATTTACCCTGCTTTCAAATGCAGTTCCATAAACAAATCCATACAAAAGCTAAATGATGTGGCAACTTACAGAAATGGGCATGCACACGAATGCATAGACGAAAGATAAGTGATACACAATCGCTTTGAATAGGGGCGCGGAAAGAGAAATCAACAATGAATTGTATCATAATCACAATCATAAATTATATATCAAAATTTGCCAACAGATTTATGAGCAACAGAAAATGTAACATTAATTGAGCAATCGATCGGTCTCAACCAAGGTCCGCTGCATAGCTAAACGCACTGATAAGAGTCACCACGATAAGCGACCTGACCAAGTGGTTTGCTGCGAGTCCAGCTGCTTATCAAACTGAAATAGTTGGCAACTGTTTAATGCATTGCACGGTCGCTGCCAGAAATCGGTTAGTAACGGAAACTCGATTCAAGTGCGAGCAACATGCTCCTGATAATCTGTCTCGGTGTTGGCTTAACGCTAGCCTTCCTCAGCCTCGGCTTGCTTGTAGTGCTGCCATTTCTGGCCATTTTCATGGTGCTGCTTTGCCTGGGCCTGCTGCTGCTGAGTCGCAAGTCTGTGCTCATTTTTGACAAGTATCCCAGCAAAGGCATCTTTTATAGGCTGAAGTATCACATTGCGTTGCTCGTGCTGCGCAAGCTGCGCGATCGCATCTATAAGCGTAACGAGGAGGAGCTAAGCGCCGCATCGCATCTGGCCACGCTTGATCGGCCCCAGCCGCTGACGGATGACCCGAAGAGCTACGATGTGGTCAGCTTTATGGCTGCCAATGCAGCCGGTGAGAAGCTGATGATCACACTGGAACGGCGCAGGCGCGGCGTACTGAAAGCTGCGCTCTACCTGTGGCTACCCAGCGGCCAGCTCTACATGCTGCCCAAACTACCAGACATGGTGCACTTCACCAGTGACGGCAGCGAGGAAAGCACCGAATTTCGTGGTGCCGGCTTTCACATCTATCCGGAGCAAGCGATGACTCTATGGCGAGTCAAATACCACGGTCAGCTGCGCAGCGAAGCGAAGCAGGAGCTGGTGGATGTGCAGCTGGATATGCAGTTCGTGAGCCACACGGCCCACTTCAATTACAATCGTGATCTCAGCTCTTCGCTCATTGCGGACTCTGTGGCGCGCGAGGCCTGGAACGAGAGATTCTATGGCATGCTCAAGTCCGTTGGCCATATTGTGGAGAAGCGCACCCACTACGAGCAGTACGGCCAGCTGAAGGGCAGCATTGTGTTGGGCCAGCAACAGCTGCAGCTGGAGCTGCGCGGCATACGGGATCACAGTTTCGGCACCGAGCGCTGCCTCAGCTCTATCAATCGCTATGTGTACTTCGCTCTGTTGCTCGATGATGGCAGCAGCATGGTCGTTGGCAACCTAAGTCAGCCCTCCTTCTTCCTATCCTCGCTCAAGGTGGGCTACGTGTGCACGCCCGAGGGCGTCTATCAGGCCATCACGGCAAGCAACTTTGAGCTCTATTCCTACGGCGAGAAGGGCGTACCGCCACAGCATCAAAACTTCATTGTGGAGACCGCGGAGCGTTCGTATCTAGTCCAAATACGTGTGCAGCACAGTGCCGTGCGCTTTGTGGGCGGCGACTGGGAGTCCAAGGTCTACAATCAGTTCGTCGCCTGCACCGTCAACGGCATCGGCGGCCAGGGACATGCTGAATATCTCTACAGGCACAATATGGGACGACCAGATGCAGTGTCCGCTAAGGATCCCGAATGGTATCAACGCATCAAGAACTTTGAGCGAAGCCTTAGCAGCTTGGAACCAGTAGTCGAGGAAGACTTTATATTTTAAGCTAATCCCCAACTCYTCTATACATATACATATATATAATAATGACTTGTGATAAAATAATATTACTCTTCAATCATATTGTGTGAATAAAACCAAATATATTGATTTTAAGTTAGCAGCTGGAGCAGAGGCAACGAGGAATAAACCCAAGTTGGATTTAAAAAAAAAAATTATTTTCATTCCGATCTCCAAGCTAGCAAACAAATAATTTAGACTTAATTTAAAGATCTACATGAGCACTTAAAACCTAATTTTCTCTGGTTATGAGTTCCCATACATAGCAAATTTGTATTTCTCATCTGTAGCCTCCGTCTGCACTAGAGGATTCCATTGCCATTCTTTCTTGAATTACTACAGCTAATCAAATAGACTTTTTACAATTAAAAGGTCTTCATTTAACTAATATTATTGGCGATAAGTTTCAATTAATAGGCATTCGAGATCAGAAAATCTGTCAGCTTTATAAATATTTAAAAATAAGTTGGAGCACAACACTTGAGCTGAGCGGACGAAAACCGTAAGCAGTCAATGATAAGATAAGGCAATTATTTTGGATTTTCTATCAATAAATATTGAAGGAAAAAATCGAAGAAAAAATAAACAAAATAAAAAAGTAGCTATTACGTATTTTATATATGTCTGCTGATTTATGGCTCCAAAAGACAACGACAAGCGTTATCAAAAAGTAGTATTATGCCTGGGATTAGCAACGATCCAGTCCAGCTGGCTGGAATCGTATGCTACGATAAGCGCTATATATGAGAATTACATGGTCAGGAAATACAAATTTTCCTTCATGGAAATCCTCACTGACCTGGGTCATAAGTAGATATTTGAAGCATAATGCTGAGCCAAGATACCTTAAGTCAGAGCTCTCTAGCCGAATATGCTAGATTAGGAGATACCCTGACCAGCTCAACTCGTCGTGTTATTGTAGAGTATAGTACATACATACATGGTTTATAGGATATGCCACGCCCGCTTGCTACGCACATTTCCACAAATTCATATTATCCTTAATTTCCATTACCCTTACAGTTGATATATGTATATAGTACTACATACATTGATCTATTGATCTCTGTTTTATGACATAGTTACCCTTAGTTATTTACTAACATTTATATTTTATTTAGCATATTAACAATGGATAATTAATTGAATTGCATATTTTGTCTAATCAGCGACACATTTTGCTTATATAATATTTGTATATAATAATTTAGTACATMAATCAATAATGCTAGTTATGCTTCCCACTATTTGCATGAACAATATAATTTTCTGCGCTTTGTTAAATATAAATGTTTGTTAAATATAATATGAAGTGATATACTAAATTTCTTTCTATAAAATGCATTGAATTTGTTCTTAAACTAAATTTATAATCCTAATATTATTAACAATGGAGTTGTGTTTCTTTTTGCATGATTTCAAATTGTATTCGTTAATCTCGGTAAATTGAAAGGAATTTCACTTTGCTCCTGTTCGATAAATATTTCATATTGCTTTCAAATCATATGTAAGATCAAATATATTTAATAGAATTTTTGTCCGATTTTCGTTCAAAATTTCCATTCAAAATTATCAGGTTTTAAGATGCTTAACGTTGGCACCAACTCAGAGGTGAGCTCCACGTCGACCATTGTCAATGTGAAGGAGCCGAAAAAATTGCCAATGGTTCCCTCCACCAATCATAGTAGGAATCGTAGTCGTAGTCGGAGTCGAAGTCCAGGTGTAATCTCTGACAGCATGCATCTGAGTCCATCCGAGATGCCGTCGAATAGTCGTCGAGCCTTCCTCCAGCATATGGTGGACAGTCTGCCAAAGTCGGTATACAATCGGGTATTGGCCCTGAAGCACAATCAATTGCAGCAAATCAAGATATCGGAGCAGTTCTTCCGCGAGGTCTATGAACTGGAGAAGCGTTTTTATTTACAGAGTTGTACGCTCTTCGATAGCCGTCGCGACATTGTGGCCGGTGATGTCGAACCGCCGGCAATTGAGCGCTATTGGCACGAAGAGCCCGACGATCTTCTTGAGCAGATTAAGAACTCGGAAGAATTCAAGCAAATGACGGTGCAGCTGCATCACTTACCAGCGAATGCGATAGGTGTGCCCCGCTTCTGGCTGACGGTCTTTCGCAATGTGGCCCTCATCTCGGATTTGGTGCAGGAGCATGATGAGCCATTGCTTGAGTGCCTGGTAGATGTGCGCATTAGTTACGAGCCGGATAGCTATACAGTTATATTTCAGTTTCGTCCAAACGGATATCTGCACACATCATCGCTGCTGTTGACCAAGAAATATATACTGCGTCACGAGGCCGACAAGGATTATCCGTTTATGTTCGAGGGTCCAGAGATAGTCCGCTGCGAGGGCTGTCACATACACTGGCGTGATGGCTCCAATTTGACACTGCAAACGGTGAGGCAGAAGCGTCTCCGGAAAGGTGCACGGAATATACCAAAGGTGATGCCACGTGAGTCCTTCTTTCGATTCTTTTCGCCGCCGCAAGCGATGGATCTATCGTTGGCCGACGAAAAGACCAAAATGGTACTTGGCGCTGACTTCGAGGTTGGCTATCTGCTCCGCACTCAAATTGTTCCCAAGGCGATACTCTTCTACACTGGTGACATTGTGGATAACGTCAACGATGATCTCTGCTCGGTGGAAAATACATCTGCATCGTTGTCCTCTTTGTCGCATGGTGATCAGGATGTCCAGAAAGATTGTCGGAATCGTCCCAGCATTAACAGTGTTAATTCTTAATACTAGTTTTACAATATTCAATAATCGTACGCATTTTCATTCCATAATCATACTATCGACTTATATATACATACACATACAAATTACACACCCTACATGTACAATTGAATAGTTAATTGAAATCTACTTAAATATGCTAGTGTAGTACTCCTCCTCCAAATCGTATAGATCCATGGCCATCTCATCGCGCAGCTTCATCAGCTTTTTATCGCACTCAATTTGTGTGGTCCGAAACAGCTGTGAGTTGTTCGTAATTGCCTCATTCACCGAATGAAAGTCATTCAGTATGAGATACTGTTTGAGATCGGCAACGAGCTTCATCAGCGATTCACCGGCCCGCACTGCAAAACAAAGAAACAGCTGTTAGACGCTTTTATTAAAGTGCTCCAAATGTGTAACGCCTTAAAGGAAATATCTGCAAAGTGGGATTATTCATATGGCTAGCCGTAAGTTGCCTATTCAGCTATTCTAAGAGAACACGATCAGTCTTCAACATAAAGTCGCCGCTAAATAAATATAATCGTTGAAATTGTATATTGCACTGTTCAAGCTGTGGCGGCTGTCCAAAGCAAACAGTCGGCTCTGGGCTGTCTCGCGTGCTTGAATTCTCGGCGGACACTTACCCATATTTGCCGCTCGCACTTGCATCTCCAGTGCGTCCTGTTCGCATTGTGTTATCTTTGAAATTTGAATGTGACTCTCTCTCCGTGCCAACTTGAGGATTTCTGTAAACAAGTGGATAAACAACTCGGTTATTATTGCAGAGCTTAGTGAGAAACTGAAAACACACTGTCTTCGCGTGTCGTATGGCATAAACAAATGCCAAATTATTGACCGAGAAAGAAGAAGAAATAAGACAGCCGTGTGCCAAAGTCCGAATTAGAATCCAAATCAGTTGAATCCCGAACGTGTGTGTGTGTGTGAATATTGTCACTGAGATTGAAATATACAAGCTTCAAATTTGCCGTCGCACTCAAAATGGGCACAACAATTTCGCATTTTCTCTTCGATCGGTTCGTCGCCAAGGAGGATGTGCGTGTCCTGATGATTGGTTTGGATGCGGCTGGCAAGACCACAACGTTGTATCAGCTGAAGCTGGGCGCCAGTTTGACCAATATACCGACCATTGGATTCAATGTGGAGCTATTGCAATACAAGCGTCTTCGCCTAACTGTATGGGATATTGGTGGCCAAAAGCGTGTACGGTCCATGTGGCGCTATTACTACAACAATGCGGCTGGCATTATATTCGTGGTGGATGCCGCCGATGTTGAACGTTTTCCCGAGGCCATGAAGGAGCTGCACTCCATGCTGCGTGTGAATGAGCTTAAAGACAGTGTGGTGCTTGTCTTCGCCAACAAGCAGGACTTACCAAATGCCATTGCACCCGACGATTTAGCTAGGCGATTGCGTTTACATGAGCTGCACCAGCGCTGGGCAATACACGGCGTCTGCGCATCTAGCGGAAAGGGGGTTCTCGACGGCATGGAGCTGCTCTACCGCATGATACGGCAGCGTCCTCAACGTGTGCGTTTTGAGCGTCAAAATAAATCATCCTCCCAATCCTAAAGCTACCTATCTCTTTCTCTCTCTTTCTTTCTGGCTCTATGTCTCTTTCCCTCTATCTCTCTCTCACTCTCCCCACTTGTCAATCACTTTATATATGTATATATATATACATTTATATATAGAGCATTTCTGTATTAGCTATTACCTTCGAAGTTTTCCAACATGCTACGCACATCTTCTTTAAGACGCGCATTATACGACTTAAGTAACGCTTCCTTTGACTGGGGTAGGATTGTAGTGCGTGGGCCGGTGGACATTTTATCAGCGTAGCTATCAACTACACTGATGATGCAGGGCTATATACTGTTTATTTTTACTCTTGTTGTTATTATTTATTTCTTTTCTTTTTCTCTTTCCTTCCTGTTACTTTTATTGTTCTATTATTACCGCGATATTTGCTAATCTTTCAGGGTTGCTCATGGTATCGCTTGTCATGGTATTGCAACTATCGCGAGTACACGATTAAGCAGCGGCCAATCAGCTGTTTTTCTTCATATTATTTTTATTTGGCATAATGGCAAATTCTGTTGAATATTTAGCTAAATTAAATAGATTTTTTTTGATATTCGTTTATATGTAATAAATGTAAAACATAATATTAATAAATAAATGTAAACTTTTAATTATACGGGTATAAAAGCATATTTCGTATGTAAAAATCATGTACTGATTAAATATATGTCAACTTAATTATAAAACATATATTTTGAATTTTATTTTATCATAGGAATCATACAAGGTAATCAACACTTATGCGATATTATTGCTGCCAGTTACCTTAGTTTTTTTTTAGCTAGAAAACGAAATTTCCACCACTTGTGACATTATATGTATTTGAATTGCCCATTTTTTATGAATGAGCTGCCGATATATGTATACTATCGATAACAAAAACTGAATGCATCCATAAGAAAAATATATTTGTATTGGAAATGTCTCAATGGTCCATCGCTAGTTCTTGACCTGCAGAGGTAGTGAAAAGAGATCTCGCAAATAGCGTCTGAGTTGAGCAAGGCCCTGCCCTGCAACGCAATTTTCATCAAGATAAGCCAACGAAGGAGATTTTACACCTGTAATGCTTTAATGCTTAAGTCCATACTTGGCGCAGACTCGAATGGTTCTGCGGAAGATCTACCAAGCGGAGGCGTTGGCGTTGGCGTTGTCGTGGCCAGCGGCAGTAGCGGAGGAAGTGGCAGTGGCAGCAGCCGCAGTGCTGGAGCGCTAAGCCGAGCCAGTTACGGCCACGGCTCCAGCTCAATATCGAGTGGTCTAAGTGCGGTTTGTGGCTTAGTCGGAAGCGGCAGCGGTAGCGGCAGTGGCAGTGGCAGTGCAAGTGCTAGTGCAAGTGGTGGCAGCACACCAGCTACCGTCTATTGTCCTGCATGCGTGGCGAACAGTTCACAGCAACAGCAGCAGCAACAGCAGGCACTTGCCTCTGGCGCTGAGGGCCTGACAGCGCGCGAGTCCAAATCAGGGAAGCGGGCTAAGACGCGGAAGAGTGCATCAACGGCTGGCTGCTTGGACGCTCAACATATACGCAACCATCTAAAAATGTCCACATCGAGCTCCATGCGCAGCACCCGCGGCAACGGTGCCGGCGGCAGCAGCAGCAGCAGTAGCACCACCTCGGCTGTTATACCATCCGGCTGCAGCAGCATCGCCTACGATTCCAACAGCAATGGCAGCTGCAGCAGCTTCAACGGCAAAGTCAACTCGCCAGGCAGCTACAGCTGCAATGCGCTCAATGTCGACTTCAGCACCTATACGGCAACGCACCAGTGGTCGCGCATGCTTGAGTGTGCGGAGTTTGTCGGTGCCAAGTAAGTAGCAGAACCCATTTGGAGAGATCGAGCAACTTGACTAAATACCATATACATTTTCCTTTTTCAGACGAAGCAAGCACACTGTGGTTGCCTACAAGGATGCCATGTTCGTGTTTGGCGGTGACAATGGCAAGACCATGCTCAACGATCTGATTAGGTTCGGTGTGAAGGATAAGTCCTGGGGACGTGCATGCGCAACGGGCACACCGCCAGCTCCGCGCTACCATCATTCGGCAGTTGTGGCGGGCAGCTCGATGTTCATCTTTGGCGGCTACACAGGCGACATTCACTCCAACTCGAATCTGACCAACAAGAATGATCTGTTTGAGTATAAGTTTCTCAGCGCCATGTGGGTGGAATGGAAGTTTTCCGGCAGGCAGCCAGTGCCACGTTCTGCGCATGGTGCCGCCGTCTATGATAACAAAATGTGGATTTATGCTGGCTATGATGGCAATGCACGATTGAATGATATGTGGACTTTGAATTTGACGGGCGAGAATCATCAGTGGGAAGAGGTAGAACAGCTAGGTGATCGTCCGCCCACTTGCTGTAATTTTCCCGTTGCTGTTGCTCGCGATTGTATGTATGTGTTCTCTGGCCAGAGTGGTTTGCAGATCACCAATTCTCTGTTTGAGTTCCACTTTAAGTCGCGCACTTGGCGTCGCATCTCCAACGAGCCGGTTCTGCGTGGTGCCACCTCTGCGCCACCATCGCGTCGCTATGGCCACACCATGGTGCATCATGATCGTTTCCTCTATGTTTTCGGCGGCTCGGCTGACTCCATGCTCCCAAATGATTTGCACTGCTACGATCTGGACTCGCAGGTATGGTCCGTCATACAGCCGGAGCAGAACTCGGATGTGCCATCGGGACGCGTTTTCCATGCCTCGGCCGTCATCAGCGATGCCATGTACATCTTTGGCGGCACCGTTGACAACAGCGTGCGACGCGGCGATACCTATCGCTTTCAGTTCTCCAGCTATCCAAAGTGCACGCTGCGCGATGACTTTGGCAAATTCTTTCACGAGAAACAGTTCTGTGATATCCAGTTTGTGGTGGGTGCCGAGGAGACGCGTATTCTGGCCCACATTGCCTTTGTGGCAGCACGCTCTAAGTATTTGCGGAACAAGATATTGTCGGCGCGTGAGGCGCTCCAGCATCAAATGGAAAAGCTCTATGGCGTTGGCCAGGTCGATGCGCTTGCTTTGAATACGGGCGTTGGCGCCGATCGTACACCGATGCTGGAAGTGCGACTATCACATGCCTCGCCCGAAGCATTCGAAATCATACTCAACTACATATATACGGATCGCATTGACTTAAAGGAGTCCTACAACAAGAACATCATCATTCTCATCACGGACATCTATCAATTGGCTGGGCTTTTCACAATGCCCCGTCTGGCGCAGGGCTGCATACAGTATCTGGACTTTAAGATCAATAAGATGAACGTGCTCGAGGCTCTCTACAATGCGGAAAAGAACAAGTGAGTTTCCAGCATTGCGACTTGCTTAGTTGTTCGATAATTAATGCCATCTTTCGTCATTCATTCATTCGTTAGCATTAAAATCATCAAGGATCATTGCATGCAGTTCATCATCAAAGACGAGAACTTCACCGATGTGGTCATGTCCAGTGAGTTTAGCGATCTAGACAAGCCGCTTCTGGTCGAGATAATACGCAAGCGTCTGCATCCCAGCAAACTGGTCATGGACACCAGCTTTGAGTCGAATATTGGTGAGTGTTGGCACATGGTATGTGTATATCTGGTATATATTCCTGATTTGTCGCAAAAGTGATCTTTATACGCCTTAAGTTCGCATTTAGATCCGGGTTTATTGTTTTGCTTTTGAACCTATCTACGTATATTTAAACTAACTTTTTAACAATGAATGTGCCTCCTGGATGGGATGGAATTGAGATGTGAATGGTCAAGTGTTCCTATTGACGGCTCGGACTTGAACTAAGTTTGTAAGCTTTGTATAAAAAAAAAAAACTGCTGTTTCTATGTGACAAATTGGTGAAACACTAAACGAACAAAATTCAATAAACAATAAATGATTTCGCTCGGACTTGGCCGGGTAACTACAGTTGAAATCCATATACTAATCCGTATCGATGCATATACATATATTTAGGTACCACATTGGAGCACGATTTGTCCATGTTCTTAGAGACAACGGGCAAGGACTTCTGCGATATAAGTCTGATTCTGGATGATCAGGTGATACCGGCCCATAAGTCTGTCCTATCAGCCCGTTGCACCTATTTCCAGGGCATGTTCCGCTCGTTCATGCCGCCGGATAATACAGTCAATGTAAGTTTTACATTATACGAATCTATAAAGTGTGTATTAATTATATCACTCTATTTCCCAAACAGATACAAATTGGCGAAATTTCACCCTCGCTGGAGGCGTTTCACTCGCTGCTACGCTATATATATTATGGAGAGACAAAGATGCCGCCGCAGGATGCACTCTATCTGTTCCAGGCACCCTGTTTCTATGGCCTATCGAATAATCGCTTGCATGCGTTCTGCAAATACTCATTGGAGCATAATATAACATCAGAGAATGTGCTGCAAACGCTGGAGGCGTCCGATATAACTAAAATCTATGACATCAAGGATTATGCATTGAAATTAATTGTGAAAGATTTTGCCAAGGTGGCCAGGCTACCAAAGATAGCCGGTTTGTCGCGCGAACTGTTGCTGGAGATAATACGCGCTGTGGCCGATTCGCAAGGCGAGTTTCTGACCCGCATCAATATCAATACAGATATCTGAAAACTAGTGCTGCTACAGCCGGCTTTGCAGTTGTTGCTCGCCTGGTTGCAAATCGGACGTAGCACGTAGAGCAGTAGTAGCGGTTGGTAGCGCAATAAATCATCCACTTCCACATCGTCAAGCAACCTCATGCTTCCTCTCATCGAATCCCAATTGAAACTCGTATTTTGCCTAATGCATTACCATCACTAACAATAGCAAACAAACCCAACAAAACAAAGCATACCCATTGCATTGCACGGGTAATGGACAATCCAAAGAAACGAATTCGACAGAGATAGCGATAGCGATAGTGCAAATAGAGCAAGAGCGAGAGGCATTGCTCTCTCGTGGTTAGGTAAAAGGCTAAGGGATAGTTGTGTAGTGCATAGCTGTTCAAGTTGTAATGAACTAAATGGATTCGTAGGTCAGAGTTCTCTAGCGAATAATAATATTTATTCTGTTTGTATATTTGCTCTGCAAGTTAATGAAGAAACCTAAATGTTTCCCATAAATGAATTGTGTAAAGTGAATTCAATAGCAATTATAAAGCTTGAATTAGACTAAAGAGTTTCCAAAATACTTTCTATGCTATATCTATTCCATAAACTGAACAATTTACTGTACTAATACATTAAATGATGCAAATGCTTCAATGTAAAAATATGTTTGTAGGAATTATTATTATCCAGGTTAGAATCTACTTTAGATAGATAGCTGGATAGAAATTTAATGCCATAGAACCTAGAGGAATGTTCAGCAGTTCGTAGGATGGTGTAGGAAAGCCGGTTCAGCCTAGGGTATGGATTACTATTGTATAACTATGCGATCAGTATCTGAAGATTTTCTGTTAGCGAAGTGAAATGATCTTAAAATGCGAAGCAGGAAATTGCTTGATCGATATTGTAAATGGTGAGGCAAGATATTGAAATGAAAGTCGTATGGAAATTGTATTTGTATTGTACTGAGTTTTATACATAGTTATAATTGATGCTGCCAAGATACATACATGTATATATATATATTGAATTATATATGTATAGAACAGACAAGTACGTACGATTCATAAGAATCATTGAATGGTTATCAAATGCTGGCCGCATTGTGTGAGTCATTGGAAGTGTGAAGATGTTTGTATGAAATATATAGACATATGTATATATATATATACATATACATATATGTATAGCATAACTGTGTGTGTATATATATGTGTATGATTATATGCTTCTATCCACTATATATACATATATGTATATGTGTATGTGGATATGCACAATATGTACCTAGGCCATAAACTTGTCTAATATTTGATTACATAATTTTCGTTTATTTATATTTGACTTATCAGTTAACTGAATGTCCAAGCTTGAAGCTAATACATATATGTAAAAAAAAAAAAAAAAAAATT